AATTCCTCCAGTGTCTGTACACACACAAATACACAAAGATCCAGTCTTAAGATTGTTGAGGGACACTCGTTCATTTTATAAAGTTTGAAGTAGAATAATTGTTAATCCAATATGAGACCAGAGAGCACACAAACAAAATATTTCGGTTTCTTTCGTTAAGGGAGATGCGTTCATGGGATGATTCAAATGATTCAATGATTCAAATTTGTCTAACGTCCAAGCAATCATCTCTCCAGGTCTCTGCGCACATATGGTCGTCGGTTAAATTCATTCAGGGACAGCGTTCTTGAGAGATTAGATTACATAGCTCTTCTGGTTAATTCAGCGCATCTCCTGGACACCATATGTACACACATATCAAGCACAAAGAACAGTTCGTCGGTTAGGTTCTTACAGAAATATTCGTTCATGAAACGATTCAAATTTACCTCGTTTAAATATAATACATCTTCAGGCCACTGCATACACATGCGCACCCACCAAGACACACACACACACACACACACACACACAGCACACACTGATAAAGACCCGTCATTGGTTAGCTTTCTTTAGGAACAATCGTTAATGTGATAATGGTCCAAATTCGAGTAAAGCGTAATTGAATTCGCGTCCGAGCTTCTGGATGCACATACATTCTATTACCCAGTCAAACACGGTCGCGACAATGACTAAAATTGGCAAGACGGGAGTATTCGCGACCTGGATAGTTATAAATAACCTTTCGTAGTTTTTTCAACACACGATCATCTCCGGAATCTTCATTTAATTTCTTTCAGAGAAATTCGTTTATGAATGAATCGTCCATGGTTTGAAAGTCACATACAATTTAACGGTAATTTAAATTTAACATTTAATTTATCATGGAATCTGGCCTCAGTGTGCGCCGCACACACATTATGTATGCGCACATTATGTATCTGAGAATTTCCAAAGCACGAGTGGTATTTAATAGGACTATTCCACAAGAGAAATTACGTCCAACAGAGTTCCAAAATGCGCCAAATATTGAAAATAATTGAAAGCGCATGTTCAAATAAGAGTGAAAGCATGTTAAAATAATGTTTTATCAGTTTACAGCTACGTAAATACTGAAGTTAACTATTCAACTTTACATACTTCCAACTTTGCAATCCACATACTTCAAAATACTAAGTAGATATTTTATAAAAAAATTGCAATTAAAATCTTGGTCGAGATTTGTATCAAAATACACAAGTACGAATATAGTCGTAAACTTGTACATATTACTATGTTGAAAAAATATAAGTATTAAAATATTGTTACACCTATAATTAAATATATTCATACTAGGCATATTATTAAAATATGTATACTAGTATATTGAAAAAATGTAGTGTTTATATTGTATTTATTTGAACATTAAATTTCAAATTCAAAAGTTCAAACTTTATTTCCAGATTAAATTATTGCATATGTATACAATATTTCAATATAAATGGAGTAGGCATAGTTTGGTCATTACGATCTCTAAATATATTAATGTGATCCAGGGCACCCTGTACTTCCCATCACTTTCCTGAACGACACACTTGCGTAGGCTTGCACTTCACTCCGATTGCCTACAGCCCCACATTACGAGCGGCTTCGCCCCCTCTCCGCGCCGTCTGACGTCACCGCCATTCACCTCCGACGTCACAGCCCCCCCCGGCGTCATCGGCGTCTGCAGCGCCCCACGCGGAGAATCGAGTAAACAGCGTTGGCGATATCTGAAGGGGAGGGTTTCTCACACCAAGAGTACCATTTATCTCGCAATCTAGACTCTCAGCCAAGACGTCATTTGTTTTATTATAAAAAAATAACCTGTATATTACTATATATTACTAATACTTGAAATATTAGTGAATACAATATAAAAATAAATGTACAATATAAAATGAACAATGTGCAGTAAATAATCTATCAACTCTTTTCGTGATACTTTACTAGAACTATAACAGAAAAAGTAATTGACATTAGATCCAATTTAGAACCAAATAAAGAAAGATATTGCAGTGTATGGGACGCACCAAAGCAGTAAGAGAGATGAAGAGTGGCGAGATATTTCGTAGGTTTTATAGGGGCGGTTTAGAGCTAGTTGGTTGGGATGCGTTTCCAGGCGTTGGTGATATTTCGAGCACATATCTTGGGATATTGTCTTGGCCTTTTCGCATATTGACATTATTCTATTGCAAAAATGGCAAAGGGATAATCATTCATAGAGACGTTCTGCTTGTTACAAACGATGGTTTCAAATATTTTCTTCCCTTAGTACGGAAGCTTTAATCCTCTGCAAACTCGCCACATCGCTTACCAATACACAACTCATTAATGAAATTACTCAAGTCTGAGCAACGTTTTTGTGTTGTAGAAAATCCAGAAATATACTGAAAATGGCGATGCGCGACTGTTTGTGAATATACCACGTGTCGTAAACAACTACGTACCAGCAACTTACTTGGAGTATTATGTTGCATCTAAATTGCAACAGCAACAGTAAAAGATTTCTAGTTGAGTATTAACTTATTATTATTATTTAGATTTCTAATCAGCCTAGAAAGTTCGTGTGTAAAGTTTGTGCAAGAAATTTCCGTGCGATTTTTAGCAATTAATTTACATAGTAGTGGCTCTTAGCGTTTATTGAGTGGTTGTATTTTATTTATTGTTTTTGATTTTGTTTGCAGCCACATTAATCCGTTTATTTCTATCATTTTCTCCACCTTTTTATTTTAAAATTTATTTACAATCTAATAAAAGAAATTTTGCAATTGATTAATTTTTGATGTACATTACATTAAAAAAAATATAAAGGCAAATTTGAACAGGAGAAACATACAATGTATTTGTGAGAGTGGAACGTTACACAATTTCAATTAATTAAAAGATGAGATTTTCTAGCGAAACTAGACTTATCTATCTTCCTGGCGTTCATTTTTTAGTATCCGTATGGCATTTACATTAGCAATCATTTTTCTGTTAACCTTGAAACAACCTGCGAACATTACATTATATAAAGTAAAGTTTACAATTGTATGAGTCACAAAATAGTATGCCATGGCCCTGAATTAGGCGAGATCAATTTTGAGCAAACAAGAATCAAACGTAGCATAGTTGCCATTAAAACTCTTACCACAAAATTTGCATTTTTACAAACCTAAACACAAAATTCTTTTGGAGTACATGCAGCGTATGGAAGCTTAGCCATTGTTAAAATCAAAATATCAAACAACCAAAGGCAGAGTAACAGTCAACGTGTTTTATGTTTAGAAGTAACGAGTACAAATATCACGTACAAGTATAATTGGAGAATAAATTAACAATATTATTATATCGAAACAACTATTGAAAATTATATTACGAAAGGAAAGATCGCGCGCGGTCCTTGGGCCGTTCGTTAGCGTACTGCTCCAGAATTCCAGTGGTGTGCTGTGGAGAAACTACGGAAAACCACTGACCAGGGATTGGAAAACCACTGACCAGGGATTGGAAACCACTGAAAACTACCAATCGTAGCAGTCAACCGCTAGAATTTTCCTCCGAGCAACGACAAAACTCGACCTGGCTCTCTAGCTAGAGCCGAAAATTTTGCCACCGTCGGGACCCGAACCCCAGGGCTTCCCGGGAAGAAGCCCTGCAGTAGCATCAGTTGACGCCCTGAGCCACCTCAGCTACTTCAACTGTACAACCAACTTAACCACCTAGATATGGGGATGGAAAATATGCCTCTACACGTAAGTACCCAGGGTATCACCACCACTCCCTTACGCATGCCTCTGGATTGCGGGGGTTGGCAGCACTGCCGCACCCCGTGCATCGACCGCGTGACGTCAGAAGGGCAGAGGATGGCGTCACGCCGCCCCCCTCCTCGTGCACGGCCCCCCGCGGTGTCGTCTGGCTGCCACAAGCGACTCCGCGGTGGGGGTGGGGCTATGAATAGACGAGCCATCGCCGACGGATTCGGTCGTACTACCCTTCAAAAAGCTTTTTTTATGCGGTACTGCCGAGAAATGGGAAAAGCCTCTGCGACAACGGACACTTCCAAAAGCAACTTTTTAGGCATCCAATAGCGGTTCTTTCAGGGCATGCCTAGCGTGACCACAGTTCAATGTTTAGCACTAGTGCTAAAAGTGAGGCGATGCTCAAGTGTTCAGATAAAACTGTGAATGCAATAAAGAAAACAATTTTTTTCTTCTGAATGTATCAACTACTACTGATATTAAAGTATCATTAAATGAGTTATGTGATTGTTTTAAAATAAAATGAAGGTAAGTGACAATGTCTAAAAAATAATATGCGACACACGTGATAAAAGTAATTACATTTTGATCGAAGAATTGCGCCATTTGACTGTCAGCCTCTTTTCGGAACCTTTTCTACTCGCAAAATAAAAGGTCACTTTTACCACTTGTATCATAAGTAAGTATTTTGCGTAATTGTGACGAACATTGAGAAAGACACAGCGTTGACAATATGTTCAAAATTATTTGGGTGCAGTGATGGCGAAAATGTGAAACACGCCGGGATAATGGACTGTTTACAAAGGTTTTTTGTACAGCGCGGTCGATAGTTGGGAAAGCTACTGCAGTAATGTACTCTTCAAAAAAAATCTTCGTGCAGTAATGATGAAAACTGGTCTACGAAAGGTAATGGGCACTTCTAAAGCAATTGCTGTGGAATAGTGACGAAAAGTGGGAATGATATTGCAGAAAGGAACTCTTCAGAAATATATTTTGTGTAGTCCTGTGGAAACGTTGGTGATATCCAATATTATAGGGCCAATGAAAAGTAATCTTTGAGAAGTAGCGTTAAAAAACTAGAAGTTATTGCAGAAAGTGACCTGTAGGGCATTTTTGTGGTGTACGTATCAAACAATAGGAACAGTAGAGTAGTAAGGGAGTCTATAATGCATTATGGTGAGCAGTTAAAAAACAGGAAAGGGACCAAGTTAAGGGATCTTGCAGTGCATTTTTTCGATACCAACAACAAATAGAAAATGTGACTTTAGGAAGAATTTTTTAGAAACGATTTTATGCAACTACACTGCACGTGTGGACCGTGGTACTTAATTTTTTGAACGTGGGGTGAAATAATCTCTAGGGAAGTGTCGTATTATATTTTCCTCTTTTTTCTTTCTCTCTCCTCTCTCTCTCTCTCTCTCTCACTCTCACTCTCTCTCTCTCACACACACACACACACACACAATCTATTCCCAATGGTGATGAATTTCAGGATAATGGTCCAACATTGGCGTGCGTACCCACAATTAGTAATGTCATATTTTGGAGTTTTGAAATGGGCAACCTGAGGTGAGAGGAACTATGAATCGTGCGAAGGAGGAAATACAGACTCGCATTGCGAAACTGGGATCACGTGCTGTGCATTCGCCCGCAATTGATTGCAGGAAAGCAAAGTAATTGCATACCAAGGGGTTTGGAATTGATCTCCGATAGTGTATGTTTTGGTAATGCAATCCTTCAAAAGGATTTTTTGAGCATTACGTTCCGATCGTGGGTGGGTTGCATACTCCGCAGATTGTGTAATCGGTGAAAAGGAGCATTATGGTTTTTATCTATCTATTAATCTATTAAACTCCCTCTCCCTCTGTTTGTAACTCTCTCTCTCTCTATCTCTCTCCGATACATCTACAAACGCCTGAGAGGATGATAGAGAGATAAAAACAAACTCGCGCCAGTGTCTGTCAGACAGTTTCTCAAAATGCATTTTTCGTGCCGTAATATCCCTTTTTAATCTCCAGATGTTTTTAGCAATTGGGGTTGGAGAACAACACTTTGATGAAGGAATGTTTCCGGTCACATGGATGTTTTGTCCGTGGATGTGGCGGTATCTAGCCCACAGAGTTGTGAGATCCAGCGCAGACCTAAACGTCGCCTAGCGGGGTTTTCCCCAACAAAGTATCTCCCACCAGCGGGGCATCGACCCAGCCAGAAGAAGCTCTCAGCTCCCGACCGGTCTCCTCGCATGTATGATAGTGTAGTGTGTCACAGTGTAAGTGTGTGTAATCAAGGAATGTGAAAGGAAAGATCACGCGCGGACCGTTTGTTAGGTTATTGTTTGGGCTTTCGGATAGTGTTGAATTGAATTGAATTTGCCTAATTTTACGTGGCGAGACTCGGGCCATCAAACCCGCTCTTCCGTCTGACCACGCAAGTTTCCCTACGCTCCTTTCACCAACTAGCGGAGAAAGGAGGTATATCTTGGGCGAGAAGCAGGCGATTTGAATTTAGCTCAGAGGCGTCATTTAGGCTTGAGGATCTTTTA